TTTTTTTAACCAGGTCTCAATTTTAATCTCTAAAAATTTTGCAAAAATAAGTAAATAAATTTATGACTTATAATTAAAGTAATTAATTTAGATAATTTCGCAGTATAATGTTATGCAATATAATATTTACTTTATTATTTAACAATAAAAGAATCAGAAATAATTCATAATTGTTACCACATATAAAACTTTTTATTTTAATAAGTAAATATTAAAAACGATACTAAGTAACCTTAAAGACATGAATGAATTGCATATTATATAAAAAGAGCAGACCTATATTATCAAAATTGAGAGAACAATTCGCAGTTAAAGTTCAATGGATGAAAAAATTTAAAACGATAATTATTCGTTAAATTTTGATGAAATAGATTTTCTCTCTTTACAAGAGATGCAATTAATTTTTATCTTTGATGTTAATTAGTACCATTTTTGACATTTACTTATAATATAAAAAGTTTTTTATGTAGCAACGATCGATAATTTTGTATATATAATTATAACATAATTATATACAAAATCATCGATCGTTGCTACATATAAACTTTTTATATTATAAGTAAATGTCAAAAACGGTACTAAGTAACATCAAAGACAAAAACTAATTGCATCTTCTGTAAGAAGCGCAGACCTATTTCATCAAAATTAAGCGAATTATTATCGTTTTAAATTTTTTTGTCCGTTCGAACTTTAATTGCGAATTGTTCTCTCAATTTTAATAATACAGATCTGTTCTTTTTATATAATATACAATTCATTCTTATCTTTAAGGTTACTCAGTGCCGTTTTTGACATTTACTTATTAAAATAAAAAGTTTTACATGTGGTAACAATCATGAATTATTTCCGATTTATAATTTTTTATTAGAAAAAAATTTAATTTGAATTATAACTATTATGATTTTAAAAAAAACATTAATGTTTTAAACTATTATTATTATTATTATTATTATATTATATTATTATTATTGCTACTACTATTTCTGAAGTATTAAACAAATTATATTTTTAATTAGATTAATCAGAATTAGAATCTAATAAATTATCTACTAATTCATTTACATTATATTCTTCATTACTTATAAAAGATTCCATTGTATTTTCTGTATTATTTGTTATATTACTTTCATCACAATATAATGACCTATTATTAGTAAAACTTTCATCTGAAATTTCTACATATACTTCTACATTTAATTTCAATACAGTATTTAATTCTTCTTCACTTATTAATTCACCAGTATTTTGAGTATTTTGTAATAATTCACTATCCAATTCATCATCTGATTCATTTTCTAATAAAATTTCTTCAAAAATTCTTTCCTCATCATCACTATCAACACTATTAATATAATTGAAAAGATAGTGTTCAATTTCTTCATCTGATAAATCTTGTCCAAAATAAGTTAAATGTTTTTTAACATTTGAAATATAATATGAATGAATTCTTGCCATTTTTTCAATTCTACTTGGATCTAATCTTGTATGGCGTTGACCATAAAACCAACGAAGTACAGAAAAAATCCTTTCACAGTTTGCAGAATGTGGAACAATACTAAGTAATTTAATAGCCATTGTTTGAATAAGTGGAGGATTATCAATACATGTTTGCCACCAAATCATAGGAGTATCTCTTTGAAGATCATAATTCATATCAAAAGGTTCTTTTTTTAACATATACTTTCTAAATTGTGATACTATTACTGTAATAGCATCAGGACCAAAT